AATTTATAGTGATAATGTCGTAGCACTCTTCTTTTCTAAAAACAAGAAGTATTTGAAATGTGCTAAACACATGGAATTGAAATATTTTGCTATTAAAGAAGAAATTCAAAAATAAAAAGTGTCAATTAAACACATTAGCACTAATCTTATGATTGTGGATCCGTTAACAAACGATTTACCGCTAAAGATATTTAATGAACATATCAAAGGAATAGGCATTATTGAAAACTATTATTGACATTATGGTAAAGTTTTATGTTCTTTATGAATTTGACACTCTGTGCTCTGTTAAGTATTGTTTCTGACATATTAATGCATCATATTCTATTATGTTAGTATGTATACATGATTGAATTATATGAATATGAACAGGATCTGTCTCTATTAAAGAAATTATTGTTAGAACATTATGACATCTCTCATTAAAGGTCATGTTAGGTATGGAACTAGTATTGTGATACAGAGAAAGAACTATATTAAGTTAATGACATATAACCGCTATTATCCTTATTAGTTTTTGTTGAATGATGATTTGCGATTTGATCATTTAAAGAATAGACTTAACTTATATTATGTGCATTATGTTTAATTATTAAACCATAAAGCTAAATAATACCACATAAGCCAAGAGGGAAAATATAGGATATTATGTGACCTATGTGCTGTTATCCACACTTAAGTAAATATCTTTTAATTTTATTTACAAGATATTAATAGTTTCATACGTATTATGTATAAAATCCTTTTGATCAATAAATAATGGAGAGAGTTTTTTTATTATTTATGAAACAATTAATGAAAGTAATTAAAACAAAAGGTAAAAATTTTGTTTAAAATTCATACGGTAATGGAACCTATGAATTGAATGGCATTAATAAATGACAGAAATCTCTTCACTCTCTTTGCTTATAAATTAATGCATTCTATCCATCAAGAGTGTGTATTAAGTCAAAGGGTCAAGAGAGAGAAAAAAATTATAAAACAGCATTTCTAGATTAAAAAAAAATGATTATGGATTAAGGTATGAATTCTCTTCAATTAGGAAATTGTGAAAATCATCTTGTTTTAAGATCTTAAGCATTAAAATTATGCAAAATTAAGATTTAATTTGCATAACAAAGAAAAATCCAACACGCTCGAATTAGAAAAGAAAGGAGAAAGGAATAGAGCATTAGAGAGTAAAGTAGTTTGCTTGCCTAATAATGTTCTTATTTACTTTCTTTTATACTTCATAGATGGTAACATAGTTGTTTGTACATAAATTTAGTAATTTATATATTTGTATCGTATCTATTATGTGTCAAATAAGTATAAAACATGAAAATTGTCTTATTGACATACCAAACACAAAATACGTTCTTGACTTTTGCAAAGCCCATATATCAACATGCCAAACGCTTTGCTTTCATTTCTTTTTTCGAATGTGATTTTTGTGTTGCATTTAAAATTATTAGGTTTTATTTATAAAAGTGATGTAACTTGATAATATACACAAGTCAAGTGTAAGTGTTGATGACGTGACTGTTCACGTATAGCAATTTCCCCAAGCCAGAGATTATAAAGTGATGCCCTCAATCCTATTTGAAAGAGGGTTAAGCACTATGATCAAGTCACCCTGGACAATTGAGTGAGCGATTGAAGTACATAGTTGCCTAAAAGCTTTTACGTAGGGATACGCGTGTGAGCGACTAGGGGTAATTGTTTTTGCATTTGTGATCGCCTATTTGCTTTAGCATTTGTGGTTGCCTACTTCACCTTAGCTGTAGAAGTCTGTATGAAGACTGACGATACATTGCTTTTAGTCATCCTTTCCAATTTATCATTTTGTAGGCCGATCGCATTCTAGTTTTGCAGAGTCTGACGATACATTGTAGCTATTCCTGAAACCCCACTTTAATTCAAATTCTTTGGATATAGTGAATTTTTCATGGGATTACGTAATTTAAATTTCTCAGACAGATATATGTTCTCTTGCTTTTTCAGTTTCCAGCTTTTTACCATAGTTTCATTTGCCTTTTTGCTTTCGTAGCTTAATCTTTTTATTTCTTTAGTTTCCGTTTTGTTTTCTTTTCTATTTATGCAAAGAAATAGTTGAGTTTGGAACAATCCTCCAATAATAGGGAAAGTCAGAAGAATAAACACTTATATTGTTATAAATTATTAAAGAATAAATATAATTATATTGTTAGAAATTATTATGGATACAAATATTAAAAGCTTTTAGGGTTATCATAAGATGTTGGAATCAATATTATTGGAGGACCTTAATTTCAATAGCAATTGTGGCATTCAATGATCACAGGAACTTTGATGAGTTGTACTCGTGGGTAAATTTCTTATCATTAGTTGGAGTCTTTATAAGGATAAAATTAATGGGCTTAGATTGAGAATTTGCTCCTCCATTATAAAACAAGGAAAGAAACTCATTGTAAATTTGACATTAAATGAAATCTATTCCAATCATCCCCACAGATTTTTATATAACTAATATGAAGTTTAGTTTGTTTTTTTTTTCTTTTTTAATCAAGTACAATTTGGGGAAATACGGGTTAGAATTAACCCTGTCATTGGCAGGGGAACATGAATCCTAGTTGGATGAAAATTGCTATTTATCTCCTATATCTTATTTATTCAGCTCTTCTATCTTGATTAATAATTGCATTTCTGCAGTCATTCAGAGACACTATGCTATATTTTATGTTTCTTTATGCCTTAATTTCCGTGCAATAAACTAAAAAAATGACAAGGATTGGATCTACAAAAGCACAACATGGGAGAAAATTTATACTATGATCAGCAAGGAAAAACACAAGCAAATGATTGCAGTTGACTGCTTTTTTTTTTTTTTTTTTGTGAAGAAAAATCGAACAAGAACATAACAAGTAAGCAACGACATCATTGTTGCTATCACAGAACCTAACAAGTAAGCAATGACATCATTGTTGCTATCAACAACCACATTAATTCAACTAAACCAAAACAAGATTGAAATGGAGAATGCAGTTCTTGATTTTTGGCCAAGCTCCTTTGCAATGAGAGTAGAAATCGCCATGGTGGAGATGAAGTATGAGTGCATGCAACAAGACTTGCTTAACAAGAGTCCTCTGCTTCTAGAAATGAACCCAGTTCACAAAAAGATCACCGTCCTGTCCTGATTCATAATAGAAAATCCATTTCTGAATCATAATCATCGTCCAATACATTGATGAAGTTTGGACTCACATATCACCTCTGCTTCCTTCTGATGCTTATCCGCAATCAGAAACCTTGTTCTGGGCAGATTACATTGACAAAAATGTTAGTGTTCTCTGATTCCTCTAAGGACTTACCATTTGTTACTATTATCAGATGTAAATGTAATGTCTTTAGTTCAAGTAATTTTCTGAGTCTAGACAGCTAGCAGCAAGTTATTTGAATTGTTATTATGAGTTTTTTCAGTAACATTGATCTATGACATGAACCAGATAATGACAATAAATGAATACATTCACATAAGTCATTTCAATTTACTATTATTATGGTACAAAAGGAAGAATTATGACTCAAATCCTAACCCATTGTTACCACTTGAGTTGAGCGCAAATGGCAGTCACTTCAATATTTACATATATTATCGTATATGTTTATTGCGCATCAAAATTTTGGTCGGTGCAATGCTGCAGATATACAGCCTTGGCAAGAGGGTGTGGATGGCAAAAGAAGACCAAGAGGAAGTAAAGGAAGAGCTAATGCAATGCTTGAACCCCTAGAAGGAGAGCTTGGAGATAAGCTCTACTTTGGGGGAGATAGCATTGGATTTAAGGATGTGCTTGTGCCCTTCACCAGCTGGTTTTACACTCATGACTCCGAAACTTTAGCACAGAAGCACTGCACCTTAAAAGTATTGCAAGGGCCCAAAGATGCAAAGGAAAAGAGTGCATCCAAGGCACTCCCTCATCCTAACAAGATTTATGGTTTCTTTTTGGAGCAAAAGAAGAGACTTGGAGCAAACTATTAAAAGAAAAAGACATGGTTATTACCAGAATAAAACAAACCAACTCATTCTTATGTTATTTGGCTAAATAAAACAAAGCAACTCCTTCAGTTTGTCAGTGAGCAAAAATTAAAAAAGAAAATGGTGTGTTGTCCTGAGTAACCTTAATATAAAGTCTCAATCTTAATTTGCATCCCAATAAATCATGTCATGAATGCAGGTTGCTTTCTAACAGTAGTTATAGACTATATAAATTTCTTTTTCAACTCTACATATTACCTGTCTCAAACATATTGTCTCTATTTGATTTTCACGAAGGTTATAAAATGTAGGTATCTTGTTTAAGGACAAAATTAGGGAATAAAAGAGGTGCTATCAGATCCTCCACTTTCGTTTCTTTCCATGCCATTTCAGTTAGACTAGGAATCCAATTAAAAAGGGAAGAAAGTCGGGATGGATGGCTTTCATATTCTGAGGTATCTTGCAGCATAATGACTTATTTTGATAGATTTAATGTCATCCAACTTATGTATGAATCCAAAGCCTACCGGGCTAAGTAATAACAACATCAAGAAAACAAGAAAGGGCATCAGCCACTGTAACACAGTGAGATAGCTTCACAACTTGACCTATGTAGAGCCTGCCCCATGTAATATGTATTCTATGCACAACAAATTTTATCACAAAATGCTATTAAAATGAACCTAATGTCTAAAGCCAGAACCTATAAGAGAAGCTCACTTGCAAACCGGGCAATATCCTAACAGTTCAGAGGAACAGAATTTACAGCATATAAATCATTATCAACCAATGAGTTTAAGAAATAAATACTAGTACCAGCAGCAAACCAAAGCCACCAATTTGCAGAGAAGAGGAAAGGATGTACAAAGTAAACCTCAACCCTACAATAGAAATGTACTAACCTGCAAATAGACAGCAAACCTACATCATTTATATCAGACCAAACTCCCAACCTCTATGGAAGTATCTCAAGCATTCAAAAGTTAAGCACTATGGTTATAATCCATTGAAAACCTCCTAACATAGATAATCAAACACAGGAATTCGTCATATGCCCACAAAAGATATACATGCAAAACAATATAGTAAGTAATTCGCTGGTAGAAAGAAATATTTACCTGAACTAAGTGCTTTGAAAGCAGCTTCAAAAATTAATCCAGTATAAAACTCAGGACCTTTGGCGAGTTGCAAATCAAAAACCGCCTTTTTTATGCAGCTCCAGTTTGTTAGAACTTCAAATGGAATTGACAAGTCACCTCTTCAAAAGCAGTTTGTTTAAGAAGACCACTTTCTTCCATGATCTGTAATAATTCCGAAGAATATCCTCTTATCTTCACAGCAGTGCCAAACTTTTTTCCACTGTCTTAGTAGATAAACCTGTTTCTTCCACCTATCAGACAGAATCCCAAGAATAAACTCATTAGCATGAACAAATCCAGAAACTTCAAGTAATACAGCAAGTTATACCACAACTCAACAAAGTTACTGAAAACTAAGAATACAGAGCAATGCAAAAGTCTAAAACCAGGAATACAGAGTTTTAATATAGGTAAATAAACTTTTTTTTTTAAATAAAATGAAACATAGCAAAAGAATTCAGTTAACTTTCAGTATCTTTTTCCATTTAGCGTGCAAAGCACCAAAGGAATAACAATAGCCATTAGATACCCAAAAGTGATTATTGAACTTTCATCCCCAAATTTACAAATGAATGACTTTCATCCACATTTCAATTAAATATTTATGATGCCATCTCCATAAATTTTTATGGTACCATCTTTTTTTACAACCAAGAAAAGTATGGTGATAAGCAATAGAAGGAAAAAGTTAAGACTGATCCTAAAAGAATAACTTCTTACCACAAGAAACTCACACTATTAGCTGAAATAGTAAACCACTATGCCAATATAGCTCCTACTGTTTCATGTTGAAGTTCTAGTAAAATAACAATAAAAATCAGCTCAGCAATATTAATATTACCAGCAGAATGACAAGTTGTAAAATATTGCCTTCATTCCTAATGCAAAAGAAATGAATGTATCAGAAAATTAGAAGAGACTTCTGCACACCTTGCAAGAATGTTAAATTTACTTTAGACCTTCCCCTTCATTGTTAGATGATCTTCACAATGCCTGACTTATTTCATACGATGGTTGATCTTCTTCATTTATTGACAATAGGTCCACTAACATGATTGCTGTGGATACATCAGCAGAAAATCCTTTAATTACCATTTCATGAAGAATTTTCATAGCTCTTGACAGATCATTGCTTTGAAGAAAACCCCGAATTGTAATATTGTAAGAGATGTTATTTGGAAAATAACCATCTTCTTCCATCTTCCTGAAAAGGTCATATGCTTTTTCAGGTAGTCCTTCATTGCAAAGTCCCTTGATCATTATGTTATATGTTGGGAGACTAGGCCTTAAACCAGTGACAAAGATGTGAGCAATTAGTTCCCTAGCAGCTTCAAGACGCCCAGCCTCAATCATGCCATCAAGTAGGATATTGTAGTGGATAATATACGGTTCCAGCTCATTGTTTTGCATTGCCTGAAATAGTTCCAATGCCACATCAATTTTACCATGTTTGCATAAGCCATCTAGCAAAACTGAGTAAGTTGTTGAATTTGGAACTTGACCACAGGAACGCATATCCTCAAAGAGTTCTTGTGCATCCAAAAGCCTCCCTACTTGGAACATGCCACCCATAAGAGTGGTGTATGTAGCAGTGTCAGGAACTGGTCCTTTTTCGGTCATTTCATGAAAGAGTTTTAGAGCTTCATCTATCCTATTAGTTTTGCAGTATCCATTTATCATGATGTTGCAACTAAATACATTAGGTTCACATCCATGGGTAACCATTGAATCAAAAACCTTTCTTGCCTCATCCATTTCATTCCGCAATCGATATCCATTTATCAATTCACTATATGTAATAACATTAGGCTGAAGACCTCTATTTGCCATCATTTCAACTACACCTAGAGCTTCAGAAATCTTCCCTTCTTTACAAAGTCCATCAACCAATATATTAAAAGTCACAGCATTTGGTTTCAAATTCTTACTCTCCATTTCACTGAATAATCTTTTCACCTCATTCCACTGGCCTGAACTAGACATCACTTGAATTAATGAACTGTAAGTGACAATATCTGGTTGAATGCCTTTACCCCTCATTTCCGAAACAAGGTCCAATGCCTCGGATATGAACTTATTCTTACAAAGGCTATCAATAACAGCACTATAAGCTACAATATCAGGCCGGAAACCTCTTTCATCCATCTCTCTCAAAATTTTAAGAGCACCACCACTATCACCTATTTTACAAAGTCCATTTATTATTATCGTATAAATATGCAAATCAGGTTGATACCCTGTCAGAACCATCTCATTAAACAATCTAGCAGCTCGAGCAACTTTACCTTCCATGCAAAACCCTTTGATCAAAGTAGAGAAAGTAACTAAATGAGGCTTATAACCAAGCTTCAACATTTTCCCCAAAACTGAAAACCCAAAATCCACACGACGCAAATGACAAAAACAATTCATCAAAATGTTGAGAGTATAAGCATCATGGGCTATTCCTAATAATTCCATTTGTTTGCAAAGAGAAACAACAATGTCATAATGTTTCACTCCCACAATTGCCCCTAACAATTTATTGAATTCCACAATACAAGGCCTGGGAGAAGAATGAGCCATCCGATTAAACAAAGAAAGGGCATCAATAATATTATGAAACTCATACTTTTTTCCATTTCCCTTGGCATCTTTCGTAAATTTTTGTGTGGTGCTGCCTCTGGCTATGCTACTAAAAGAAGACAACAAACAAAAACAGAAGGGATGGTCTTTTACATGAAGTGAATAAAGGTTACCCGTTTGATGAAGATGAAATAGAACAAGAGTTGTTTTCCGCAGCTTCCTGTTCATCATGGTGTTCTTCTACTTCCAACTTGAAAATATGGGTCCGCAGCTTGGGTTGATGCCGTGAGAGCGGCAGGCTCGGGTTTTGGGTTTTGAAATGTAAATTTCATAGATACTACTAAACTTGTACTCTTTTTTTCCCAATTACCTCCAAATTTCAATTGTCCCAAAAAACCAGTAGGTAAACGAAAATAAAGGAAATAGAAAAGAAATGGAACAAAATTTAATGGTTTTTATTTATTATTAAATAAAACAATCAAAATATTAAAAAATAGAATGGAATAAATTAAAAAAAAATCAAAAGATTAAAAATTAAATAAAAACTATTTCATAACAAATTATTATTATTGGTGTATTTTTCCTTCTTTTGTTCTAAATGTTTTCATAAAAATGTTTTATAATTTATAATAACTTTGATAAATTCATATATTGGATCAAATAATTTAAAATTTTAAAAATTAAAAATACATTGTTCATAATTCAAAGACTAAAACCTAATAAAAAAATGTAATGGCAATATAATAAATATTAGATCTATTTTTTTATAAGATAATATACATTTGATCTTTAAATAAATGTTTAATGTGATATTTATATTTTAAAATTTAATAATATGATTTATTTTATAAATTTATATTATTGGATTCAATTGATGACATGGACATTAACAAATAAAAAGTTGAAATGTGGCAAAAAAAAATCACGTCAACAAGTTAATCCAGTCAATTAATCCTATATGGCACGCCACACCGCCCACATGTCACACTGACATTTTTTTTTTTTTCTGTTTTCTTTCTCTCCCTCCTTCCTCATTTTTTTTTCGTTCTCACTTTTCTGAAGCCGATATCGGCGAATCACTGATCAAATCTAGGATGGTAATAGAGAACAAATAAATGAATATTTGTTAATATTTGATCTATTTAGATCAAATTCGAATGATTACAAATAAATAATTAATGAATTTAGATAAAAAAAATATTATTCAAGATAAATTTAAAATAATATTTTTTAAATATTTAATATTTAAATTTATTTAAATTTTAATTAACAATAATGAATATTTAAATTCGTTTAAATTTAGTAAATAATAAAAATATCTAAATTTATATCTAAATCTATTATCATTTACATATATAAAATATATAAAATTTTATATTTATAAAAGGTTTCAAATCTTAAAAAATAATTTTTATTTATTATTAATTAAAAGTAAACTTAAATTTTAAATTAAATTATTATTTATTTTATATTTTAACAAAAAATTTTAATAAATAAATATTTTAATAAACTTAAATATTTAAAAAATAATTATTTATTTTAACAAATTTAAATTTAAATAATAATATTAAATTTAAACAAAAATTTAGATACGGATATCTCAAAAACAAAAAAAATATATATATATATATATATATATATCTCAAAAATAATGAATATCCATTAAATTGCCATTCGTAATCAAGTCTAATCAGACAAGGCAAGATTCCACGTCGATAGGCTGGAGACGATCTGGAGCTAGCCTAATCGACCTGTACAAGCTGAAATCCGCCTTAAAACCCAAGGCGTAATTTCACCCGGATCCAGACCGCAAACAATGGACATCTTGGCCAAATCCAGCTGATGACTAACCGGAATCGGCAGTGCTTTTTGAAGATGCGTCGAGCCAAATCAGCCTCAATCGGGTAAAATCATAAAACCTGATGAGGATGCATATAAAACATTTGCAAAGGTCTCAAGGATTCCAAAACAATAACATTTCTTCTGCTCATATGGTACAATTGGAATGCACAAAGTTTAAACCATATTCCCCACAACACTTTCATTTGCAATACCTGAACTCCTAAAGTATTTGTATGCTCATAAACAAAAAATATTAAGAAACTACATGTGATAAAATAGAAGAATGGTCTCCAATCGTGAAGGACCCTTTTCATGGGTTCAATCGCTGCTGTAGTTGCTCAACAAGTTTACTTCTAGGAATTACTTCCTCATTGGTGGTTTCAATGTTCTTCAGTTTCACAATCCCTTCATCCAGCTCTCGCTCACCCACAATAATCATCCAAGGGATCTTTGAGTCTATAGCATATTCAATGTGCTTCATCACCTTTTTATGGACCTTGTATTCTGCTTTAATATCTACATCCCACAGCTCGCTAACCAGCTCTGCCGCTACAGATAGTTTATCCCCCAGGACAGCCACCAATACTTGGGTTTCTGAAGCTCGGAATGTCTGCAAATGCCGTCCCAAAAGAAATAAATCAGTACCTCACACAGCATGCGAGTGTTGGTAGAATTAAATAGTTCTTATAATCAATATTTACTACGAGAAGATATAATTAGAACAATCATTCTGTTTTCAAAAGCATTCAACATTAGTGCTGAATCAAAACTTAAGGCCACCGGACTGTAAACTTATAAGGAAAGAAAATGAATAATTCATTTAACAAGGGAAATGGAAATGCAGAAAGGAAGAGCCGGTAGGAAGAAGACAGTCCAACTGAAATTCTGAAACATTTGTCTACAAAAAAAGAAAGGCCAAGAGGAAAACAAATCCCATGTAACATGTGCAAAGTAAAAATAATTCATAGAACCACAAAGAAAATCTTTCAGCATAGCTCTCAATCAGAAAGAAATCAATAAAACTGACAATAGTTGACATATATGTTGAGGTTAAGGAAAAAAGATCACATACTATAAAGCTGCATGAGAAAATGCATACAAAAGTGGGTAGGCAAAATACAGATTGTTTCATTTCCAAGATGATAGCTTCGTAACAGCACAGAATGTGGAAATACACGACAAAGAAAAGGATGCATGCAGTCAGTTTGAATTCCTACCATTACCAAGAATAACTACACAACTTATTAAAGCTTGAACCATGAAATGCTAGACCTAGAAGACCAGTCAGACTGGAATCAACTTTGTGTACAGCAGAATGAAGGAATAAACCTGGGCTGCAAAAATTTAATAAGTCTTTTATCCATCTTTGGTGGGCTTTATCAACAAGATGTCTGAACTGATGATTGATACCCAGAAACTTATTCGGATATCAAATGACATAATTATCCTTGCAATACAAGAGTAACCTCACCATCTGATGACTAAGAATCGAAGGACAGCTTTCCTATCTTATCATTCTTTTGACAAAACAATTAAAGCCTCCATCCAGTCAACATTTTTTTTTAATTTGAAATTATCATATACTTGAACATACTACTTATCAAAATTAAATGAACATATTATTTACAAGATTAGAGACATCACATCTTTTTTGCTTTATATGAATAATTCCTACCACTCCTCACCAAATGCACTTTTGAGACTTAATAGGAGTAAGCAAACAAGTGACAGAGAGGAGAGTGACTTAATAAGCCTGGCACAGACATAGTGGCTAAGACATAACTCATGCTTACACATAAAGCTACAAAGGATTGTCCATGAAATAAAAATTTCAAATACAAATTTGCACTCAATATAACACATAGATTCTATCGATATATATCCTAAACAATTAGGAATAACCTGGTTTTGTGCTTTCTCTTCCATTATAGTCAACACTCGCTCAATTCCAAGACTCATACCAACAGCCGGAACCTGCTTTGTGCCAAAATTTCCTATCAGATTATCATATCGTCCACCAGCACCAATTGAACCAACCTGCATATAAAAGGAAATCAATCATATCATTCAAGGGGTAGTTAAATAACCAACAAAATAAAAGAAAACATTTATTCCATTGCAACAATTATAATTAATGTAGGTGCACATTTTAAAGAAGAATGGTGATAAAGTTAGATGAGATCATACCATCCACTAGCTTGCTTTTCCATAACACTTCAGCTAACAGTTTCATGTTTCTAAAGGTCCAATGATGGATGACATTCTTGCAAGTTTTGGAAGAATGTCTACTCTAGGTGCAAATTTTGGAAAGAGGATTACTTAGTGGCCTTATTTGTTTTATTTTGTGGCCCTTATTTGTTAGTTAGTTAGGTTTTATTTTAAAAGCTAGGTTGATGTTGCATATATATTTTATATATGAAAAGGGAGCAACTTACACCAGTGTAAAATTAAAAAGTTTTATACCTTTTTTCTATGAATTGATTTTACTAGATCCAATGGATGAGATTAAACTATTTTTTCTCTTTTTACTTATCTCTCTCATCCCCTAGATCTATTAAAATCAATGGTTACAAAAAAGTGTTAAGTTTTTTAGTTTTACGCTGGTGTAAGTTGTTGATCCCTCATGTGCGTGTGTGTGTCTATGTATATATATAGATATACACACACACACATAAGGGATCAAATTACATCAATGTAAAACTAATTAATTTAACACCATTTCATAATTTCTTGTACGATTAATGTTTTAAGAAACTGACCATTGGATCTAACAAAATGCTTGAGTTTCAAGTCAATCCGATATCTCTATTACATCGATCGAGAATACTACATCTTATAATATAAGTTTAACGGTTGACATTTTGCACCATACAAATGGTTAGACATTTTAAATTGACTTGAAATTTGGCATGTATGATCCACATGAATAGAGTATGAAATTCTATGGTTGAATTAACAAATATAAATTGTATAAAAAATATATATATGAATTGGTGCAAAACTACTTTGGTTTTACCCCGAAGTAAGTGGATTCTTCCCCATATATATATATATATATATATATATATATATATATATATAGGTTTTATCAATTTGGAGATTAGGTTTTGATTATTGAGATTTAAGTTATACAATTGAGATTTTCAAATTATTTTCTCATATCTTATTATTCTGGGTTATTTGTTCTACATCGCCCAGCCTCAATCATAAGTTATGATGCATGATTTTACAGCCCCGAGAACTAATAACTGATAAATCAGACAAGTAATATAAATGGCTTTGAAATTTGCACCTTGATTTATGTAAGGCCTGCCCAAATGCAAATTGCACAGCAAATTTTACAACAGAATGCTACTATTAAAAGAACCTACTTCCAAACACCAGAATCTATTACAAGAAAATAACATGGGGACTGCACTACATCACAACAATCGAGAGGCACACAAGTTCACAGCATACCAATAATTTGCAGTTCAGTGAGTTTAAAATATAAATGCTAGCGATGCAACCAAAGCCAATACAATGCAAAGGAAAAGACTCAATATGTGCAAAGTGCCCTGAACAAGTCAAATATACCAAACAGCAAATCTAAGTCATTTATCCAAAATCCTAGGAAAGTATCATAGAAGTTCAAACTTGAGCAATATGCTTAGAGCCTTAGACCCACCACAAAGCTCTTAACATATAATTAATAAAAAAAGTATAGTACAGAATTCACACAAAAGATATAAAGGCAAAACATTTTAATAACCCGCAGGCAGAAATAATATTTACCTGCACACCTCCTTTGAAAGCAGCTTCAAATATGACTCCAGTATAATAATCAAGACCTCTGGCAAGACTCAAATCAAAAACCACTTTGTCTATGCACCTTGATTTATCCAGAGCATCAAATAAAACTGACAAGTCACCTAATGCTTCTTTGGAGGCACTGTGCTCAAGAAGCTCACTACCCTCACTTCCTCCCATAATCTTTGACAATAATTCCAAAGGAGGTCCTCTTATCTTCACAAAAGTGCCAATTTTATCTGCCGTCTCAACAGATAACCCCTTTTCTTCCACCTATCAAGCAATATTTGGAAATATATTATGATTAACCATAATGACATCTAAGATGATGCTCACACAAAAATCAAGATATGCACAAAATTAGTCATTTATCCATTAATAAAAGAAGAGAAACTTAACAAATTTCTAATTTTCCAACAACACACTTTCTAGTAGAACATAATAAGGGTAATAAAAGAGAACCACATCCACGTAGGCACTTCTTCTAGGCAAGGAAGAACAGAAGATGCATGAATGAACATTGAACAATAGAGCTAGCATGCAAGCTTAGAAGTAATTGAAAATTTTTGTTTGAAATAACAGCAATTAAAGGGACAAAGGCTAGCACCCAGCGTGAGTAATAAACTATAATTGAGAAAATGAGTATTGAATTAATAACTGTCAAAATTTTCTTAAAATTAAAAAAAAAAAAAAAGAACAATAACAGTTAGTACGATACAAATTTGTATATCAATGACAAATATTTTAACAGTGGTATATTTACACGGCTTTTCTAAGAGATGTAGATAGAGGCAGAAAGATTTTGAGGCTTTGGTCCTCACCATTTCCTTTTTAACTTGCTCAAAAGATTGTTTGTCTAGCTTGTCAATACTTGAACAAATAGTTCTAAACTTTGTTGGTGGCACACCACAGATTTCCAGCACTCCATCCAGCAACTTTCGGTGATTCAATTTTATCTGTCAAAGCAAATAAGAGGAAATTAACCAATTTGGAAAGCAATTCAAGCAATCTTTAGAACCACAACATGACAATAAAGGAGAGAAAAGCATAATGCTGCAAATATGTCTGCATAATGTGCCTTTCACATCAAGACATTATACTAACTAGTGCAAATGAATGCCTACACTAACCAACTGTACAGAAATTGAAGAAAAATGAAACATCAAATATAACTGCCAGGCTATTATACTTTTAAGAAGTTAAGAATGCCAAATTCAGGTATAATAGCCGATGCACGTGGATCGGCCTAAATTGCGAGTTTACTATCACAACCAAACAACACGAGAGGTAACATTAATAATATCAAGAAACTAAATATGGCATACAACTAGGGAATAGAGTAACGATGATTTACTTCATAGTCCCCAATGTTTAGCGCATTGAGTACTTCAGACAAAATTCTAACGACCTCAAAGTCTGGTCCCATCTTTTCAAATTGGCCAGCAATATCAAAATCACATTGATAAAATTCTCGATATCTCCCTTTAGATGGGTTATCCCTTCTCCAAACCTTATCCATGTGGTATCTTTTAAATGACGTGAGACCATTCATGGCCACATACCGAGAAAATGGAACGGTTAAGTCATATCGTAGAGAACAAAGCTCTCCACCCTGTAAACAAATATTAACAAAAAGTAAGCACAAATAACTAAATAAACCATACATGTCACCTCTCTTAATGGAACAACCATAATCAACAAATTTTTAGATTGCTGATTACAAAAATTTTCTAAATAAAAAGTTAATGCACAAAAGAAAACATGACTTCATTCTAATGAACAAATTCTGACTTACTAACCTGGTCTGCAAGATCGTAAATCAACTTCGAATCCTCCCCATATTTTCCAGTAAGAGTCTCCTTCAATTCAAAAGCAGGAGTATCCAGGGCTGTGGCACAATGCCTCTCAAAAACCTTTGTTATAATAGAGAATGCTTTCTTTCTTATCACCATTTGCTCTTTAGCAAAATCACGGGTACCCTAAAAAAGATGCTAGGAACACTTAAACACTGTACTGAAGAATAAGGCATAAAGACGACAGCATTATAATGATGTGGACCCATTTTTTCTTTTCTTGATGTTTATAATATCAAATGAAAATAAACCAACCAACAGGCAACTGCCCTACTTCTAGTTTTAGTTTTTAAACAATATTTTCAACAAATTATGGCTGGAGGTAAAAGAAAACAAGAATTATGGTTTAGCTTTTACCTTAGGAGTCTTGGGGATTCTTCTACTTTCATTGCTCTCCAAAATTTCTTTCACCTTCTTCAACAAACCATCCAACTCAGGACTTTTCGGATCTAAAAACGATAAAAATTCCTCCACTACTTTCTCTAAACCGTCTCCCTTACTCACCACCATATCCTTAATCACCTCCACAATAACACTAGTTCCCTTCCCCAACAAAACTTTCTTTTTCTTCTTCTTTTCTGCTTTTACATTCCCTCTAGCAGCCTCTCCTCCTTTTCCACCACTCTTCTCATTCAAAACCTCCACACCTTCAAGCACGAAAAACGCGGTCACAGCCTCCCACGCAACAATTTTCCACACAATTCCCAAAACCAAATCCACCTCCTTCACCACTTTCACATAATCTTTCTCCATCCCTGCTTCCACAGCCAATTTGATCCCATTTCTCAAACTTTCCTCACTTAAACAATCCTTTTCAAAAATACCCTTTAGACCCTCAACCCCCACTGAATCAAAATTCAATCTTACTCTTTCCAAACTACTCTCCCCCAAATTCCTTAACTCAAACCCCAAATGCAAAACTTTTCCCCCTAACTTATCTCCCGAATTTGCAACCACCCGAATAACAGAATGCATACTCTTCACCGCTTCCCTCACATTTCCATTAACAGCGGGAATCTTAGAAAACGAATTAGTGCTAAATTTATCATCACCTTTGCTAAAACTTGCTACCAATTTGGAACCGTTGAGTAAGACTTTGATGTCGCTAGCTACTCCGATGTCATCTTTGGCGACGGATCCATCGCCGGAATCGGTTAAGTCGAAGGCTGATAAGTTGGCCCTTGCGGCCTCGCAAGAGAGGGCAGCAACTGCTACGGCAACAGTGGATAGAGCTGAGGAACTTTGGTCTAAAAGCTTGCATGTTTCGAGAAACGATGACATGGCGGATTCGCCTTCGTTTACGCCCATGGCGATGGGGTTTTTGAGAAAGTAAATGTGAAATAACGGCGAAAATGGAGAAAGGGAGAGGGAGTGAGCTGCTAGCGTTTAATTTGGGCTTAGGGTTTTTGTGGGATTTTTTTTTTTTTGTTAAATATAAAAATATCTATTAATTATATATATTTTTTGTTAATTTGATTCTTCAAAAATATTTGTCAAAACTTTTATTTAGTTATCACGTTAATACTTTGAGATTGATACTATTTATTAATTTTATTAATTAGATATAAATATTTAATAAGATATGTGTCAAAAATATTTAATTAACATCACATCATTAATGTTATTTCACATAAAAAATTTCAAAAAATTTTCCAAATTTAAAAAATTCTAAAAAATATTTTAAAATTCTGCAAAATTTTAAAAATTTTAAATTTCAAAAATTCAAAGCAATTCTAAAATTTTTTTAAAAATTTATAAAAATTCTAAACAATATTTAACATTTTTTTAATTTCTTTAAAAAATTATAAAATTCAAAAAAATCTCAAAAAAAATTAAAAGATTTTTTAAAA